GTTAATGACAAAGTGCTTATGGCCTCAGAACTTCAGTTCTAAGCATGAAAGTGAAGATTTCTCCAGAATCAGATGGTTACATGATTCAACATAAATACCTGTGGTTTGGTAATTCCTCCTCTTGTCAGTTGAGAGAGGGTAGCATTTAAGGTGAGGGGAAGGACCTGCGGCCAGTTTCCCTGGGAATGGTGGGAGATGTGGGCATAGATCCTCCCATTGCTTGGGAAGAGTCCTGCCGGTCAGTTGGAAGTGGGATCCCTGAATGGTGGGCCCCACCCCCGGTCTGCCTGTCATGTTCAAGGATTGGGGACCTACAGAGAGTGAGTGTACAGCTGCGTTTGAGGGATAAGCTTTGAACATCACTCTTATTTAAGTGTGGGTGAGAACTAAAAGGTCACCCTACCAATAAATGACTGCGTGTTCTGTTGAGGAGGAAATGCACAACTATTTTCACCCACTGTGTGATTAGAAGATGTAAGGAGAAGGTCAAGACTCCAAACTAGGGCTGGAGGGAGGAAGACCGAGCCCTTCTCAGAATGCATGGAGAGTCCCTGCCAGAGCCTTGGGCCGGAGCCCAGCTACAAAACACCAGTCTGTCCTTGGTCTTGGTCCCAACTGGCTCCCTGAGGGTGAGGGAACTGCCTGGGGATTCCCCATCATTCAAGAGCTATCTGAGTGACCCCCTCCTCGCCCCTCCAGGAGGGGATTTCCCAGAATGTTCCCACACCCCCAGGAAGCTTATCCTTAGCCACCCCCAGGCTTGTGGTTCCTGATAGAGGCAACGGCAGGTGACTCCACAGGTGAAGGTGAATTGTGAGTGTGAACGCATGGATTTGCACGAGGTGGGAAAAGAGGGAAGATGAAATCAAAAGGCCAACAGCGCTCAGGTCTTTCAGAGGATAATTATCAAATATCATAAAGTTTAAACCAACTTCAAAGGCAAGAGAGGACAGAGGGCACCGACTGTGACGCCAGACTGCCTCACCTCCAGTACTGGTGCTGCGACTTACAAGCTGGGTGACCTTGAATGGAGTCACTTAACTTCTTTGTACCTCTCTGTTTCCTCTTCTATAAAACGAAGCTAATAATGTCACACAAGGTTATTGGAAAGATTAAATATAATGAAACCATAAACTACCTAAGAGAGTGATTGGCACATGGTAGTATTCAATAAATGTTAGTTATTATTAAGTCAAGCTAGGCTTTGTTTTAAAAATTCAGTTTACGGCTGGGTGCAATGGTTCATACCTATAAGCCTAGCACTCTGGGAGGCTGAGTGGGAGGATTGCTTGAGCTCAAGAGTTCAAGCGCGACCAGCCTAAGCAAGAGCGAGACCCTGTCTCAACTAAAAATAGAAAAAACTAGGCAGGTGTTTTGTCTGGTGCTTGTACTCCCAGCTACTCGGGAGGCTGAGGCAGGAGGATTGCTTGAGCCCAGGAGTTTGAGTTTGCTGTGAGCTATAATGACACCACAGCACTCTAACCTGAGCAACAGAGTGAGACTGTGTCTAAAAAAAAATTTCTTTTTGTTTTTCACTTATCTTTCTCATATTAATTGAGTGCTACGTCACTCTGTTCCCAACACACACACTTCTTCCCAATCGGAGGGGAATAGGGGCTTTAGTTTGCTAATATATTCAGGTAGTCAATATGGATTCTGAAATATCCGAAAGTCAGAGGGGGCTTTAAAATCTTCTAATCTTGTAGTTTCCAACAATAGTTGTTAAATCCCCTGGGGAGCCTTTAACCACCCAATGCCCAGGCTGCACCTGGGCATTGTCTTATGAACTCAAAATCGGACATCAGTATTTTAAGCTTCCCCAGAGATCCCAATGTGTGGGATCTCTCAAGGTTGAAAGTCGTTATTTTGGTCCAGTCTTCCTAATTTAAAGTGAGGCACGTGGAACTCACTAGGGAAAGTGAGTCACCAAAAGTCACCAAGCCAGGACTAGGACCCAAGCTTCCTGTCCCCACCTACCAATCCTAGAGCCCAGTGTTGTCATATGCTAAGGCCCTGGCCTGGGCTCTGGAGGAAGGTCTGGTCTCCAGTCTTCCCTCCACAGAGGAGCTGACTCCTCTCAACTCAGAGCAGGAGGCAGATTGTGACTGACTTGGGCTTCTTATATTGTGTTGTATGACAGGGTCACCAAAATGAAGACCCAGCCTTCTCTTGGTTAGCCGAGGACTTCTTAGTGCTGTCTGGAGACCTCTGCCTGCTCAAGTCTCCAATCTCTTGGGAGAAGCAGTTCGGTGTGACAGAAGGATCCCAGGTCCCTGAGCAAGCCCTGTTCTGGCCCTGCCTGGCTATATGCCTTTGGATCAATCCCTCAAAGTTTCTGAGTTTCTAAGAAAGCAAGTGTCTTGAGGTAGATCCAGTAACAAAGCTGCCACCAGCCTGTGGTCATTTGGGGGTATGTGGAGTAGGTTGTCCCCAGGTCTCAGCTGGCTTCATCTGGAGAGTGGGGATAATGGTAGTGCCTGGCCTTCCATATCCCTCTCAGAAGAGTATCGTGAGGAGCATGGTGGACCCAAATGAACCTGAATGGTAGAAAGCAGGTGACCTGGATGCCCAAATACAGCCTCCCCTTCCCCACGGTGGCAGCAGACATGCGTGGTAGAAGCTGAAATTTCCTTCCCCCTCGCTGAGTTTTAGGTTTCCATCCCCCATGGGGAAGTTAGGGGATGTGGCTGTTGTACCTCTGGATAAACAGCTGTCCCCATGGCTACCTTCAGCAGCTGTCCCTTCAGCTGAGTGAGTTGACATGACTGCCCGGGGAGGACCAGAGTGGACTATGCAATAGCCGGCAGGGTGTGCAGGGACGAGCCCAGATCAGCCACTTCCTCCTGCAGGGGAAGTTGAACCCTTTCTCTCAAAGCCTCAGGCTGGCTGCAGGGGCCCTGGGCTGGCAGGGCAGGTTACTAGGGGGCCCTAGCAGGAAGCAGTTTTGCTTCCCAACTTAAAGAGGAGTGTCTTGTCACAGGTGATTGCTTTCTGGCTAGACACAGCAAGCAGCAGTTAGAAACTTCTCCTGGAGCTCTGGGACTTGCAGGCCAGGGAGGCGGACGCAGCTAAGAAAGCTACAGAGAGCTCAGCAGAGCCTGCTTAGGGAGGAAGGACCCACTGTCACTTCCCGAAAGTTGGGCCTGCCTCTAGGCGGGGAGAAGGTCAGAGGGCCCAGCCCCCACCTTCTACCTTGGGGTTTGCCCAGGCACTTCAGAGCACAGAATTTACAGTAAATGTTGTCACCAGTGGAAACTCTCAGAGGGGGCGAGGAAAAGGGCCAGAGGAAGGGGCCAAGGCTCCCGGCCCCCAGTTCCCGTCTTACCAACACCCCCTAGCCTCGTGGTGTTGCTTTAGCTTACCTTTCGGTAAAAGGGGGATGCCCTCCTTTTGGGATGTACCAGGAAACAACCAACTGGTTAAATGAATGAGCCGGCCACATCGTGCAGAAGAAGTCCAGGCTCTGACTCCACTTGGTGCCCCCCACCTCATATATTGACCGAGGCACATTTTCTGGCTCATACAGAGTCTCATACAGGAAATGCCAGGCTGAGGCTGAGCATGCTCGAATCTGCCCTTCACAAGCGGATAGAAGCTGGCTTGATGGGCTAGACCACAGCTGTGTGAGTCTCTGCTACTCAAAAAAGAACTCCCAGGGTGTGGGTTTAGGATGATTGGCAGTGAGACTGTCAGATCCCATCTGGCTCCCTCCTTAGCCTGTAGCTGATGCTCCTGATGGATTATGTAGGGCAAATTTTAAATGTCAAGTTAACTTTCCATCTACTCGCCACCCACCATATTTTTTAATCAACTTCTTGTCGGCAATTGATGCCATCAATCAGTCAACAAGCATTTGAGTTTATACCAGTGGTTCTCAACCTTCCTAATGCCTTTAATACAGTTCCTCATGTTGTAGTGACCCCCCATCATAAAATTATTTTCGTTGCTACTTCATAACTGTACTTTTGCTACTGTTATGAATTGTAATATAAATATCTGATATGCAGGATGTATTTAGGAGACCCTTGTGAAAGGGTCATTTGACCCCCAAAGGGGTCACGACCCACAGGTTGAGAACCACTGGTTTATACTGTACGCCAGGCCTTGAGCTAGACACTTAACAAATCATGATAAGTGCTTGAATCATTAAAACAAATTTAATATCATGTTTAGTGTTTTCAACTTGCCTGATTATTAGAATGACCTGGGACACTTACTAAAAATTCAGATTCTCACAGATTTCATCCCCCCCAATCCTAAACCCATACTGAGTTCTAGATTTTAGGAAATGCCTGAAATTATATTTTTAATAAGCCTTCAAATTAATTCTAATGCTATGGCAAGTTTGGGAGAGGTTGACCCAAACCAAATAGAACTGGACCTCAAATATGAGGTTGAAGACCTCAAATATGAGGAAACACTGGTGGCACTTATTGAGGTCATATTTCTGGATCAGACCTTGCCGGTTTGAACAGATGGGACAAGAGTGAGACCCTGGCAGAATTTTCTCTGGTGGCTCCAGCAGAGCTGCTGGTGACCCTTGCTTTCAGGAGTGCAACCATGCAAAAGGAAGGAGCCCAAGATGGGCCTGTTCTTCAGTAAATGCTAATTCCCAGAGTGTAACTGTTGATTAATTAAAAATGTGATCAGGCATCAGCACTCCTTACCCTGAGTTTTCCTCATTAGCATGTATTTGATAGTTCCCCACAAGCAACAGGGAAAAGGTGTTTCCGGGCTCAGAGTGTGTATAAAACCCGCCTGCAGATGGGGAGAGTGGCTAGATCAGAACCCTGTGGCAGACTTTGATTATGTAATATTTATAAAGACTCTCCTAAGTGAAACCAAGGTGGGCATTCACATATGCAGCAAATGTCTCTGGTGCCTTTCTCCATGGCTGTGCTAGTGAAATCGAACCCGGCCCCCTCCTGCGCCCCTCCCTGCCCTGCCAACCTTGCGTCTTCCTGACATTCATCTCCCATGTCGATCCCTCCTTCCCACAGGAGAGCGAAGACCTGGAGAAACAGAATGCGGCTCTGCGCAAGGAGATCAAGCAGCTCACAGAGGAGATGAAGTACTTCACCTCGGTGCTGAGCAGCCATGAGCCCCTGTGCTCTGTGCTGGCTGCCAGCACGCCATCGCCCCCAGAGGTGGTCTACAGTGCCCACGCCTTCCACCAGCCTCACGTCAGCTCCCCGCGCTTTCAGCCCTGAGCTTCAGATGAGGGTGAAACACAGGCCTCGGGTGGGGCGCACAGACTGGCTGGGTGGCCCCAGTTCTTCAGAGCCCTCTGTCCATATGGAAACCCAGAGACAGAGGCCTGGACAAGGAATAAGCGTGAAGACTGTCATGGGCATGGGGCCTCCCAGCAGAGCAGCAGCTAGTCAGCACGTGCTGGACCCCCATCCAGGTCCGGGGCACAGTTCAGAGGAGGATCAAGCAGAATCGCCCACATCCCACGGTGTAGAGAGGGAAGGGGGGCAGGGAAGGGCTATTTTTCTAAATAAATATTTTAACAGAAAGCAGTCTGGTAAGGCGGTTTCCCTCTTTACACTGTCCCTTGAAATTCAAAATTCTGTGAGTTTGGGAACTTCTTTGGAAATTTTTTTTTTTTTTTTTTTTTT